CAGATGAATATTTTTCTTATATTTAAGGGAGTTTTATTATCCAATCATATTAACCTGCAGTATTTCAAAGCTCAGGTTTAATTTCTTTTGAACTTCAACCATCTTCCTAGATTTTTAAAAATATTTTCTCTAAGGCTCATTACAGATTAAAGACATATTTCATTGTGCTTTCTTCAGATATTCTTCAGAAATCCAAATGGTGTATTCGACATTATGTATTAATATTAACATTTTTATCATCTCTGAAATTACAGCATGACATTTATTCTAATTCTTATAGAAAAATAATACTGTTATTGCTGAGGTAAATGAAGTTCTTGGTTAAGAAAAAAAAAACAGCATTTATGTTTGGAAGTTTATATCAGATTGCAAGTTTTTTGCTGTATGCAAAATAAAGAATTATGTGCATAACCTCATTTTCTCTAAAACCAGAAATATTAACCTGTGACTTTTAAATTAAACTTTACTTGTACCATTCTTCTCAGGAAGCCCTAACTCTTCCAATGCATTGAAAACATTTCTTTTAAACAGTTTTTTTAAAAAAGGAAACTAATTTCAGCATAGTGATAATACTGCAGTTTTGCACTTCTAAGAGCTTTTTCTTTTCAGGCTTTCAAAGCAGCTTAGAAGTACTAAGGACAATGTTTTTAAAAGGAAGTTATATTAGCTTACTGATGCTCTTGTTAAACTCTGGAAAATTCACACTAACTTCAGTCAGAGTAAAACCAGGCCAAAGCTAAGTGTCTTGGGATACCCTTCTCCCACACCATCCACACCCTTAGGTTATTTTACATAACTTATGATGTTAGAAAATAAATAATCATTAACATACTTCACACTGAAGCAAGAGCCATGATTCATTTAGTCAAACAGCAAAGAGCTATGGAGACGATATTTGGAGGTCTGGGCTTAAATTTCAGGATATGTAGGCTTTTATTTTTTAATAAAGATTAGGTAACAAGTAAAGCTGTGCAGAAATTTGCTCCATGGGGAGGAAACAATTTTAAATTATTTTCCTTCACAGAGAAAAAAGCTTGTAACAAAATTAAAAACAATAATTTTGGAAGTTTTGAAAATTTCCACTCCTAGTTTCTCCATTTATGACTCTTTAGCCATCTGCCCATGGGCTTCTGCAGAGACCGGAGAAACAAGTAATTTTTCACTTTCCCCAGCAGCTGCTGGCAGAAATTACCACAGTTCCTCCCAGTGGGTCAGATTTATCCAACAGAGGTAAAGAGTATTTCTATCAGCAGTATTTCTGTATTGCCTTCCTACACTCTCTCAAAGGCACATGAATGTTTACGCACCTTGCATGGGTTGCTGCAGAGTCCTGACATGGAATATAGTCCTGCAGCCCTTATCGAGGATAGCAGAGCAGGTCCAAACAGAGCTTGCCCCAGCATGACTATCCAAGGGATGTCTGAGGGCAAGTCAGGAAGGCAAGGATCATAAAGGGCTGGTTATGTATCCCTACATGTGTCCCTACAGCACAGCCCAGGCAAGGACCAGGGCTAAGGGACTGAGCTCCAGCACAGCCCTCATGGGAGGAGAAGACCCATGGAGCCTGATCCCAGACCTTATCCAAAGTCACTGCCAAATGGCAGCAGAAGTGGCTCTGACCTCCCTCCCAAGGCCCAGAAGGGGAAGGAAGAGGAATGGGCTAGGATGAACACTGCAGTACTTGTAACATCCAGGGCCCTAGTGATCTTATAAATGTTTTTACATGGTAGCTAGAATAAATGGCTGCTTTTCCTCTCTCAAGTATAGAGGAAAAACTCTTGGTTACAATTTGTTCGTTTTCCTTCAGTGCAGCTGTTTTCACCCAACACCTGTCCATTACCTGAATATTGCATATGATCTCAGTTAATTACATTGTAGTGCATCTGTTAAATCTTTGCATCGCTGTACAAATGAAAATGTTACTTAAGCAGAAATAAAAATTTCAGTGTTTTGTATTATCCTCTTTTCCCAGTACTGTGGACAACAGTGGTGGTTCTGAGCTCCAAGCATCAGAAGAGAATCTGTTTTATACTTTACTGATTGGAGCTCTTTGCTCAATTGCATATGTGAAGACTTAATGAATGTAGTTAAATAATTTTCTAAACTACATGAGGTACAATTCTTGATCATATTCATTTGAACTTCATATTCATATATCATACCATTCATATTCATATGATATTCATTTGGATTTCTTGGCCATTATCCACTTTTTTCCTATAGTTCTAAAAACTAGATTTGGATGTATAGACTATTCATATGAGTGATATGAATATTGAGTGAAACAGCAATCACAATCCCTAATCCCCCCCTAGTTTATTATCTAAAATTAGTTTATTGCAGATACTACATCTGGTGAATATTGCCTTGGTGATTCACAAGAATGCTGGCTAATGATAAATTGAGTTACAGGGGAAAATATGACAGCATAATCAGCTGTCAGAGACATTTCTTCTGCATGGGAATAAAACATTTTGCCTGTTGTCAGATGTATCATGAAATGTCAAGGAGAAAGATGGCTGTTTAATATGAAAGATGGAGTTCTCAAATATTCATTATTGTATTAAGATTAGAGGATGAAGCCTCTAATTGAAGCCAACAAAGAAATATTAAGAACTGTCATGGATTGACACTGGCCAAAGGCCAGGCACCTACAAAAGCCATTTACTCACCTTCTCTGCCACACTTGGGCAGAGGAGAAAAAAAGGTTAATGATTTGAGATAAGGACCTGGAGAAAACAATCCAAGGGCAAAACGGGCTCATCTTAGAGACAAAAAGTGAGCTTGTTGGTAACAAAATCAAAGAAGGATAATAAGAAGTAAAAATAAACCATTAAAGAACTTTTTTTTCCCTTACCTCTCCCTCCTTCAGACTGACAGTACAGGGAGACAGGGCATGGAGGTTTGGTCAGTCCATCACGGAGGTTTCCTTCCACTGCTCCAGGAGAGGAATCCTTCCCCTGCTGCACCGTGGGGTCCCTCCCATGGCAGACAGTGCTCCGGGAACTTCCCCGGTGTGGGTCCACTCTCAGGAGCAGCAGTCCTGCCACACCTGCTGCAATGTGAGTCCCTGCCACAGGCAAACAGTCCTCCCAGAACTGCTGTGACGTGTCTCTCTCCTTCCATGGGATGCAGTTCTCCAATGACAGGCTGCTCCAGCCTGGGAGCAGGGCCTCTCTCTCCACCAGGTCTCCCGCTGGATCCCAGCCTCCTCCAGGCATCCACCTGCTCCAGCGTGGGCACTTCCTCCACGGGCTGAGGGTGGATCTCTGCATCCCCCGTGGATCCCCATGGGCTGCAGGGGCACAGCTGCTTCACCATGGTCTCACCACGGCTTGCAGAGCATCTCCTCCCCTTCTTCACTGATCTCGGTGTCTCTGTCTTGTTTTCCTCACATGTCCTTACCTCCTTGTTTCTCTGGCTAGAATTAAAAGTGCACCACTACATTTGTTTTGCTTTAAATATGTTTTTACAGTGGTATTATCATTATTCTAATTGGCCCAGCCTTTGCCAGAGACATGCCCATCTTCAGAGCCATCAGGGATCTTCTCACAGAAGCCAACTCGGTGGCCTCCCTACCACCGAAAACCAGGCTGTGCAAAATGAACACAGGAATGTTACAGAAAAAGTGATATATTGGAAGTTGGAGATGCTATGGATTTTTATGAACTGTAGATTTGCCAGGGACTGGTTTTATAATTCACATTTTGAAGATAATTTCTGATGTATGTTCCCAAATAATATCAGCATTTTGAAAATGTGACAATCAGAAGTGATAGAAATAATTTGATTGATAGTCTTTTACTATGTAATATAAGAATTAACCTTTACAGGACAATGGTGTTTATATTTTTTGTAATTGGAAAATAAAATTTAAAAACCCAACAAAACCCAGACTATTTTCTTTTCCTGATTTTCTTAACTCAGTAAAATAATATCAATAAATTTATTAGAAATCAGTACAGGTTGTGCAGGCTCTTATCATCATTTTCATTCCTTTTGTTTTTACATTCTAACATTCTGAAACTTTTGTGATTACAGAAAATTTTGCATGGCAGAAGGAAAGTACATTAATAATATAAATAGACTTTCAAAATCATATCTTTAGTAGTATCTTTTGATGTAGCCTAAATTATTTGGTACACATAAAGGAGCTGGTCATAACACAACTATGTCTTCTCTCTCTTTCACACACTCTCTGTGTGCTTATAATGAATATTTCATTGCTGAACATTTTTTTTTTCAAATCAGCCCAAATATTTGATATGCTTGCATGAATATATATTATGTCTATTTTTTCCTTTTTGTTCCTACAATTTCCTACACTGAAAAGGCTTAGCATAATTTGACACCCCAGGGTATGTTCCACATTCATTTAAAACCAGGTTATAACTAAAGTCAGAAAGACACCTTATGTCAGTGAGGTTTGTTTGCAGTAAGCTGCAATCAGATGTAGAAAATGCGCAACCACTGATGTCCACAAATGACAGTTCTGTTCTTTCAGCATAACAGAACTATCTGCAGTTAAATCAAGTACTGCCTTTGAGAAGTCAGAACTATCTTAAAAGTCTGGTTCAAAGGAGCAAATTCTCACCTGTTTCTACCTTGACAAACTAAGGATAAGTGAATCACCCTTTATGCTTCATGTAGTGCAATTGTTTAGTAACACATATATTAAAACAGAGAGTTATAAGCAAGCTTTTCCTGCCTGGAAGTATTTTCACCATCAATGTTCCTCTCCAAAAGAAAAAAGGAAAAAACAAAGCATGACAAAGTTAGTCGTATTTTAAAATTAATTCAGGGAAGTTGTTCAGTTATTTTGATGACACAAACGTGTAGGAAAGGACATAAAATAATGAAAAGCAGACACTTGTCACTAGAATAAATAACACCACTCCCGAATTGCAGTCTCAGCAGTGCCTTGTGTTGACTTGCTCACCGATACAAGAAACTAGAGCAGCATGACAGGTTGAAATGCTGGCAAGGTTCTGCCCCGTTACCTGCTTAGCAAGGGTCGTTTGGTGAAAGGGGCTCTGCGGCTCGCAGTACAAGCGGCTCCTGTTCTCCCCTACAGCCCCCGAGAGCGGGAAGGATTCACATCCCTTTGCTTGGTCGCTCCTCTCTGGGTGTCCTGAAGGAGTCTCAGGCACTGGAATGATCAGCCTGTCGCCCGGGCTGCAATCCTTGTGCCGCTAGATGTCCCTGCACACCAAACTTTAGACTACCCCGCCGCCTTTGGAGGCAGAGCAGCAGCCACAGGGCAAGCGAGGATAGCCATAAAATTTGATTGAGCAGAACTTGACCATTATGTTTTTAGGTAATAATTGCAGTAACTAGAATCAGCGCTGAAGATTATCCACCCTCCACAAAACGTTATTATTCATTGACACAAATGTAAGGTCTGTGGCATGGTATTGACAATCAGCGTCATTTAATTTAAGTAATGCCTTCCCTCACAAGGGTAAAAACAATGTATTGAAATCAGCCTGTAATGCCTGTTCACTCAACAAACTTGAATGCCCTTGGTGCTCTGTATGGAAGGGCAGTTTTTCAGCAGCAACCATCACAAAAATTTCAGAAAACAGATATAATGCTACTTTAATTAAAGCAAACATTTGCATATACTGTTTTGAATACAATAAGTATTTTTAAAAAACTGGAGCAGGACATATAGATTAAAAAATACTTTTTATAAATTATACTAATTTTGATCCAAAAATTCTCCTCGATTAATTAGGATTTTTTATTGGTTAGAAATACATCAAATGTTTGCAAAATAATATGCAAAGTAGCATGCTGCAGGGATACTTTCATTTGAGCAGCACTAGAAAGCTGATGTGCAGCAATTATTTTGTTGTCTCCTGGAGGAACTAAACTTGGCAAGAAAATCTTAATATATAACCAAACATATTAGATGACTGCTTGTTGTGGGTATAATGTTGTTTATGTTCTTGGAGTAAGCATTTAGATTTGGCTCTTTCCTTTCATAACAGTAGAATATTACTTTGGATAATATGCTTCCTGTAGATTCCTGCTTCAGAAATCCAACATCAGGAAAAAAGGTGGACCACATTCACTGGTAATTTAAAAATACTGCTTTTTTCACCAAGACTTCAAAGTTTGAGTCATATTCCATACATGCAAAAAATAGGGGAAGAGTAAAATAACCATCATTAAGTTCATAACAAGGGAAGGAAGTGAGGTTTTTTTACAGAACTGAATCAGTATTCTATCTTGGTTTTATTGTGGCGTGCTCTTTCATTTTATTCAGTTATTGCAACTCTGTATGTCTGCCTGTTGAATTAAGGAAGCAGCAAATGATCAATGCTGTTTCCCCTTCTGTAGAAAATGGTGCTGTATGTAGCAAGGACTCTTCCCTAAAAATGGAATCTGTGAAGGATTCAGAAGCATCTGGATGAAGGATATCCCTTCCCTCACTCCTTTCCTATTTTATAAATAAGTGAAAATATTTACATTTACTCTGACCCTGATATCTTTCCTTTCTGTTATATACTCTTGGGTGTTTGGTTGCTCTGTATTGGTTGGCTTGATTGGCTGAGGTTTTTGGAGGGGCAGATGGGGATGTTTGGGGGGTATTTTTCTTCTATTTTTTTTTTTTTTCTGATAAGTATTAATTAAAAATACTCTCCATTTTCCCTTCAGGGCTAGGAAGATTTCACTGAAACATTTTTGAGCCTGAACTACAAAAATGTGAAACTAACTCACAGACTAAAATTATGGAGAACACACTAGGGAAGTATCCCTATATGCTTGTCCTGGTCTAAAATTCTTCCTTAGTCAATCACTATCACTAGTTGGTAAAGACTGAATATATGGTTAAAGAAACATTGAAGGGCTCTTGTTCTTCCTATATAATGCAAGATATCTCACTTTTCTTCATTAATTTACTTTCTGTTTTTTGTTTTTTGTTTTTTGTTTTTTTCAGAGCATTCTTTTTACACATACCTCATCTATTTGAAAGATTTGTGGTTGGACAAAACTGTCACGATTTTCTTGCTTGCCTTCTTATTGTAGATGGAACATCTACAGACTGTGCACACAGAAGCTTAATGTTACACTCAGTTTCAAAGTATGAAGATACACCTGTTATTTTGCAGTGGGAAAGCAGACTGAAGTAGTGATTGCTCTGGAGAAAAACTCCACAGTGAATGTGTGAGAGACAGAAATTGCCCACAGGGAGAGAAGTTTCAAAGTAATTATTTTCCACTAATAAATTCCTTGTTTGGCTATAGAAGGAAGGAATAGCTTTGTTTTAGTAAGGAACACATGACACATTGATTTCTGTATAACAACCTAATGCACTGCTGCTAGACTGCCAAGCTGTCTCCTCAGTTTTGTTATAAAGCTATACACAAGTAACAACAGTGCTATATTTATAGTTAAACCATAGCACAGCTTTTTTCTGAGGCTTTATTCTAGTCACTGCATCCTGTGTGAGCAGCAGGAATTGCAGAGATCAAACGAATCCATGACTCTGGTTTGGGATCCCCACTGATGTGTGTACCTCTAACTCAAGCAGCCAAATATGTGACAGCATATGAAGCAGGAGATATTTAGAGTATAAACCTCCTGCTTCTTCCTTATCTTTTTGCTCAAACAGCATAAGTAATATTTCATAAATAAGCACAGATTTATACAATAATATATTTGTCAGAAAATCTTTCGTAGACATTCCTGAGGAACTTAGTCCATGACAAATTTTACTATTACTTGTGTCAATTATCTTCATTGTTTTTCTAAGGGATTTTTTAAATTGTTTTTAATGTTCTAAACAGGAATGATAAACAAGGAAATGTATTGGAGGTATACTGTACAAATATAATCAAGTGTTTGAAGAAAAATATTCTCGGCTTTAAAATCGTCCTTAGTCTTAACTGTGTTTGAGATAATCTTAGCCAAGCATCAGAAGTAGAAAGAATTTAAATAAAACCTTCACAGAATTACATTAAGTATCAATTTGTAGCTGCTGTCAGGTGGTCATTTTGCAGGGAACACAATAACCACTGAGCCAACTACAGAAGCACTGAGCAGATCAGCAAGTTAAAGTATATAGATGAAACTTAAGAATTAATTTTATGCTAGAAAGGCATAATTATCTACCCTAAATCTGGCTAGTAACTAGGCACTAACATTGATAATTTTGTGAAAGTTCCTGAAAATGTTCAATATCAAAATGATGAAGACATTAATTTCCCATCTCATACAGAAAATGTCACTTCCAGCAGCACAGCAGAAGGTGATTGATGATTACTTGCTAAATAGAAATATTCCCATATCCTGAATCTCAATGAGTTCCACAATTACTCTAAGAGACAACTGCCTCAACTTCTCCATAGAAGAGAAAGATACTTAGTCTGATTGAAAAACAGGTGTTTAATAAAGAAGTTAAAAAGTATCACAAGCAATGGTCTTCTCTCTTAACATCCATTCTGGCTACAAGGGAACAAGAAAGTCTAAAATAGCTTCAACTGGGGACACAGGTCACCATAGCAGTGACTGTAACAGTAGGAATGGAATTTTTAGACTCTCATGATATTTTAGAAATGAAATTCTCTACAGTGACATATTGCTATAAAAGAAAGCCTACAGTAAAGGCGTAAGACTATAGAAAACTGTTACAGAGAGCAGAAACCCAAACACACTCAAGCAGGAATAGGCCTGGAAAGAGAAAAAAGCTTCTTTTCTCTATCAAACACTTTGTTATACAGTGACTTATATTTGGATTTTTTTTGTTTTTCTTAAGAAGCATAAAAATGGTGACTATAAGTCACTAGCTTTGAACAGGTTAGCTTGCCATAAAGGCTGACCTTGTGACCTCCCAGAGCTTCAGGAGCTCTTGAGGTTGTGACCAGCTCCTGATGAGCTGTACCAGCAAATGCAATCATACCTACTTTTCATTTTCTTATTATTATTTTGATATTGACCTTTACAACAAGATAGAAGTAAGCACACTGGATTTTAAGGCAGACTCCACTAGAGATGACTGTGTTAACAGTAAATCATAGACTTTTTAATGATTTTTGCGCACTGATCATGCATAGGGAGCTCATCTGGGAAAGGGACATCTAAAAAGAGGATTTCTTTTTCTTAACCTTTTTTAACAGGCAGTGATGGTAAAAGTAGCGCAAAAAGTTATTAAAAAAGTGATTCATGACAGATAATTGCTTATAAAAATACAGACGTGGGAAGCCAGGAATTTCAGAACGCCCAAAGTTTGGAGCTCCAGGGAGTTTTACTTTCCTGAATTTGAAACCTGTGTGGATATCATCTCAAGTAAGGTCATTCAGGTCTCTAGACTTTCCTTGTCAAAGAATATGAAGCCTTTGGACTCCTGGCAGGAAAGGGAAATACCAAAGCATTAGGGTTTTCCTGGGCCAGCATTCCCTGGAGGAATTCAAAGTGTCTCCAAAATACTCACTTCAAATACAGTCAGAGACCTTTGTTAATCCTCCTCCCACATACTTTTTTATGCATCTGAAGAATCACAAGCTATTGCTGTTTTGCTTTATTGAGAGCTTAAGGAGAGAAGAATTGTTTGAGTTTTACCAGGTTAAAGGGCAAGGAGAAATGTCTCTTGACAGTCATTAGCTATCCACCTGCACACCAAGGACATCAGCTTTGTATTGTCCAAAGAACCAATGTATTAGTTATTTTTATGGGTCACTCTTTAACTACTTCAGTTTCTACTGATCAACTCATGTGCTTTTAATTCTCCTTTTGGTCTGCTTTGTAGACCAATAAAAATGTAAATTAACATGATTCCTCTATTTTAATATTTTTGTATTTGCAAAAGGAATTTAGGAATCTTATATGCCTCTATCCTTGATTATGGCAAAAATATTTTTCTTAAATTCTCTGTGGCAAAATAAGAAGACACTATTTTAATGAATTCTTAAGTTTTTTCTCTAAGAGATATCTTTGGTCAGATTGTCTTCCTTTTTTTTCCATGGATTATTGTACAGTATCCTCACAGTGACAGGAAAATAATGATCTATTACATTGGCATGAAATCAGCATGGTGTTTCTCCAGCAATACACTAGATCAAATCATGAACATAGCAGTATTGCAGCAGTATCATTTTGACAGTGATTTAAACTAACATATCATTAGTGCTTCTGTACATCACTTCAGAGATAGAGCATGTTAATGCCTTGTC